GTGTAGCACAATCAGCACAGCACTGAGAAATCCAAAATGGTTCACACATTGATTCATGCCTAATCCCCCTTAAAGATGTCAGGTTTAGAATCTAAGCCATTCGCCTTTAAGTCAAAGAATACAAAACCTCTATTTCCTCTATTGAGTCTTTCAGATGAAGGCCTTCTGTTCTCTGGTTAGATTCAGATCTACTCTCAGGAATCAGAAGCATTCCACTAGACAGCTAAGCACAGACTGAAAAGGCCAGGGTCAAAGCAAAGTCAGTACCAGAAGGGCACCAGAAAAATAGGGGGAAAGGCCTATGCCAGAAAAGGTAATTAAAATTTATCACAGAAATGGTTTTCCTGTAGACCCCCTGCAGTGCTTGCTCCTTATCGCCTTGAATCCCCACTAGCTGCAAACACTTTACAACCTTAATGTTTTTAAAAAGAAGGTGTAATGTTTTTCATCTCATCGACCTCCATCCCAAGCTTCTGAGAAATACCCTCGGACTGACTCCCATCTTATTTCTCCCTGAGAACCAATGACCTAGAAAAACCAAAACCACCACTTAAGGAAGAAGTTACTGTCCCCTTCAGAAAATTCAAAGGACCATCCTATACCGTACAAATATAATGATTAATCTTTCCTTCAGTCAATCGTCCCATTTTATATATAATCCACAGCTTACTTAGATGTATATGCTTATTATATCTCAAATGGCTTGCAGAATGAAACAGCATATAATTATATAAGTGAATAAATAAATGTTATAGGGAAGGAAGTAGAAACAACCAGACTAATATGGAAAATCAGTTAAAAAATAATTTTAAGAACTGCCCAAACATTTACTGAAATTTTTTAAAATTTTCAATCAAATTCCTGTTTCCTAGAATACTAATAAAAAAAAATTACTGTCATCAAGTCAGTTTTACTCCTAAAAGCCTTGTAAGATTGAGTCATTGTAGCAAACTGCTGTTATATTTTATCAAAGGGGGAAAATAGGTTAACTGTCTATTAATCCAATGCTAGATGGTCCACTTTCCAGAGATCTCCCCTTCCTTCACTCAACCTTAAGGTAAGGTCAGAATTAAGTACGTCACAGTAATTGCTGCTACTAGTGATTTTAGACTTCGTTTTTGTTTTGTTTTTTAAGACAAAGAATAATGGTACCTTAAACCCTGAGAACTTCGTGATCTGGGTCATGGGCCCCCACAAGGAAGACATCTCTTAGGGAACAATGCAGACAGTCAGCGTGACAGGTACGCAGTAGAACTGCAGGTGGAAGGTGCCTAGTGAAGGAATGGAGACAGAACTTTCTGTTCTACAAAACCAAAGACTTTTCTCTTTCTAGTTAACATCTCCATCCCTTTCTCGACAAGTTTCCAATTTCATCAATAAGTAGGGAAACTGGACTCTGAGTCTTCTTTTTGACCGAATGCTGGAATCCAGAGAGAATGGAAGGTCAGTGCCTAATTCTACATAGGTACAAGATGAACATTAACAGGGCACTGGGAGTAGAAAATGAATCATTAACAATCTTCAGCATGCAGATGACTCAACCTTGTTTGCTGCAAGTGCAGAGGACGTAATGACAAAAATCAAAGTATTCAGTATGGATTACATCTCACCACAAAGGGGGAAAAATCCTCACAACTGTATCTTTAAGCCACATCACAATAAATGGGCAAAAGATAGGCACTATCCAGTCTTTCATTTTACTTGGATCCACAATCAATGCTCATGGAAGCAGTCCTCAGGAAATAAAGGGACACATTGCATTAGAAAATGTGCTGTACAAGATCTCGTTGAAGTGTTGAAAATAGAAAGAAAGAAAAAGGTGAAGTGGATCTTTACAGGAGGGAATAGCTTCGTCTTTTCCCCATAGCGTGGAGGTTGGTGGCCTTGAATGGCCAACCTGTGGTTAGCAGTGCAACATCGAGCCCACCGCTCGTAGTCCCTCCTCGGGTCTGAAACGGAACTCATCTCGGTATTAGAAGTGTTAGAATCATCAAACATTTAAAAACCAAAGGGTAACACTGACCATGGACAAAGTACAGAGGGTTGCTAAAGGAGGTACGGAAACCAGAAGTACAGGGAGGAAGGGAATACGTGATGGTATTTTGAGGGGATTGCAATGGATGAGTTGAAACAAAATGTGGACGAACTGTTGAATGCAAATGAAAGATTGATGATCACTTAATTCACAATGAAAAGCTAAAAGAAAGTGATTGGCATTGATTTTATTAAATGTTTTTTTTACATCTAGTGAGATAGTTAGATGATTTTTCTTTTGTTATTATGGTGAGGTACATTGACTTGATTTTTCAAATATTAACTCAACCTTGCATATCTTCGATAAACCCTATATTGTAATCTTCTTTTTCTATATTGTTGTATTTGATTGCTAATATTTCATTAAGACTTTTTGAGTGTGGGTTCACGAGGAAGATTAGACTATAGTTTTGGCTTTTGGTAATGTGCTTGGCATGTTCTAGTATTAAAGTTATACTGACTATAGAAACAAAACCAAAAAAAAGCCTTGTAAGAAACCCAGAACCAAAGCCACAGCTATCACGTCAATTCTGACTCACAGCAATCCTATAATGCTGACTAGAACTGCCCGGTAAGGGTTTCCAAGTCTGTTCATCTTTGCAAAAGCAGACGCCTACTACATCTTTCTCCCAGGAAACAGGTGGTGGGTTCAAACCTTTTGATTAACAGTCAACCACTTAACTACTACCCCATCTGGGCTCCAGACTCTATAATAAATGATCAAAAAAAAAAAGGTGGGTTTTTTTACTGCAGAAAATGAATCAATCTAATTGACTCCAAACTTCTCTCACACATAAGCCTCTCTAATGTCCTTAATATTACTAGTTAACATATAATGCAAGCCACCATAATGAATACTATCCCATTTACAAATACTATAACATATACTATCCCATTTACAAAGCTTTAAGGCAGTGGTTCTCAACCTGTGGGTCGCGACCCCTTTGGGGCATCGAACGACCCTTTCACAGGGGTCACCCGATTCATAACAGTAGCAAAACGACAGTTATGAAGTAGCAATGAAAATAATTTTATGTTTTGGGGGTCACCACAGCATGAGGAACTGTATGAAAGGGTTGTGGCATTAGGAAGGTTGACCCACTTCTCTACGGTATCTTTTGTTGTTATTCATCTGATTTTAAAGAAGTAATAGATTGTTTGCAAGTCTGGGATTTTACATCACTTTTAAGAAATGTTAGCCCATTACTGTTTCTTGTGTGCTGGAAGAAGATACAGACTCTTGGGTCCAAGACAATGCCATTTTCACATCATAAGCACCAAGTTCAGGGAGGAAGTAGGAGGAGTGCTGAGGGGATTGCAACTGATACCATGAAACAAAACAGGAGTAAATGGTGGAATGGAAAACTAATTTATTCTGTAGTCACCAAAACTGTAGTGAAGTGTTAAAAAAAATGCTTTAGAGCAGTAAGAACATAAATAGGCTTGTCAGAATAAGTACATTCATAGAGACCAAAAGCATATGAGAGATTGTCAAAGCTAGGGAAAGGGTAAATGAGGAGGAGAAGGGTGAAGAAAATGTTCTAAAACAAGTGAGGATGCTTTTAAACTATTTTAATTATACTCAAAGCTACTGAATTGTACACTTTAAGAGAGTGCATGTCATAGTACATGAATTCCATCTCAAACTATCACCAAAAGCATTGTACTAGACATGGTGAGACACTGCAATACAGAGCACACCTTCCCAAGGACAGGTTCTCGCTCTGACCTAATAAAATCAAAAATTCCAACACAAAAAACTATTTTTAAAATGAAAAGCTAGCCAAATTTTCATTGATATTAGTAGTCATAGACATCACTAGGAAGCAAAGGCAAAATGAAAGCTGCCTAGGCCTTGGGGTCAGAAGAGCTTTGTCTTTACCACCTGCAGGTAAATGTTACCTAGTAACCGCCTGGAATCCCCAACTGCAAAGACTTCTGAACCTTATAGGGCTTTTAGGAGAAGTAAAAGAGAGAAACTATGTTATAGACACTAAACTCTGTGTTTTTCCTTCATACAGATCTTTGCTAAAATGAGTACATTTATCTTCCACCTGTCTGGAGAATGTTTTCACCAACTCTAACTTCAACTTTCTCATTTCATTTAGCCTCAAGCCACCCACGCCAACATCAAAACAAAGCTGCAACCAATCCTGCACCATGCAATTACTCCATGTCTCCCGAAACAGAATTTTCTGTCTCCCCACTGCAGCACAAATCCACCTAAGAGACAGATTCTACACCCATCCATAATGCCTGTCCCTATTAAATATGCCTCACACATTTAGTCTTTTTACATAATTATAATGTGCAAATCACTCAGATTTGTCTATAAAGCTATATTTTAAATGACTGAGGCAGATTTTACCTACAGCACGTTTTAATAGTTTAATATAAATATCAAGCCCTACCTTCACCACTGCAAATAAATAAGTATCACCTGTCTGTTTTCTTGAATACATTATTATTTAAATTTGGGGGACCTACAAGATTTTGGTTTATTAGCTTTCACCATCTGAATGTTTTTGTACTTTGTTTTTGTTGCTATTTGATGTCATCGGGTCTATTTCAACTCATAGTGACCCCACATAACAAAACAGAAGTGCCTATAGTTTCCCAAGCTGTGATCTTTTGGGGAGTAGATCGTCAGGTCATCTGTCCCACAGCAGGTGGGTGAGTTCAAGGTCACTGGCCATCAGCCCAAGGCTGCACTATTGCACCACCTGAGCTCCATGGTTTGTACTTCACTCACTATTGTAATGACTGAAGCCATGGAAGGTGTAGCTTTGGTACCATGGAGCCTCTTTTTTTCCAGTCAGAGGAGGAAGGCTTTTTGATGTGCACAATCTCTAGTCTTTCGGGCTGGAAGAAAATGCAGAGCGCCAACTCCACACATTAACACCACCGCTTGAAGGCAAAAGCGAAAAAGAAAGACTGCAGACCACTGAAAATAAAAATATACTTACAGCATCAAAATGCAAATGGCTATCCTTCAAGAAATCTTGAATCTTGTCCTTAGACAAAATACTAAATCGAAATCGAAGAAGATCCATTTCTTGTTGTATGAACCAGCGTCTAAGATCCTCACTGAAATGGAGACAGGGAAATTATAAATATAAATTTAAAAAGACTGATGATTTTTATATCCTTATCTTTTTCATGAAACAACACTCAAACACTGGCAAGATTCTAGATGCTGTCAAAAGCACACGTGGTCTCTATTAAAATAAAAACCAAAACTCAAACTCACTGCCATCCAGTCATTTCTGACTTATAGCAACACTATGATTATAATAAAGTGAGCATGAACTACCATATACATAATTTTCCACAGATGTGTCGGATATTGGGGTCGAGGTATCATAAACATAAAACTAAGAGAATTACTCTCTGCACTGGACTCAGAGGCCCTGCCCTGCTTGAGTTGTGACCCGGAAGAAGTAACATAGGGTCTTCTCCCCCTACTGACCTGGCCTGCCTACCTGCCTTGAGAGCCAGTGACACTGCTGCCAAAGGCATTCCCTTCTATATACCTGGGAAGGTCTCCAGCTCAGCAAGATGATCTGTGCAGGGCTCTTGTGCATCGCTGGAATCATCTTTGCTTTGCTAGCCAAGACAGGGCCAGTTCGAATCACAAGCCATTACCAGAGAAAGCCACTCCACTCATCTCAGGCTCTGCCAGTAACTGCTAAGCCCAGTCCGTCCCATGGGGCTCTAGGACCTGCTCCTCTCTTCCAACCCTGGTCCTGGTCCTCCAGGACACATTCCTTCCCTATCTCAGGGTCGGAAACTCCGAAATGTTCTTCTCCCAGTATGGCTCTCGTGCTCCTTTCTAATAAAGGGTGGGGGAAGCTATCGAAATCCTATTTATAAATTAAAATATTTCCACACCTCCCTCAAAAAAAGTAAGCCTAAAATGATTCATTAGCTTTGTGCTTCAAAACTCAAATTCAGTGGCATCAAGTCAGTTCCTAAAGGGCAGAATAGAAATGTCCTGGTGGGTTTCCAAGACTATAAGTCCTTACGCGATCAAAACAGCAGCTGGTGGTTTCAAACCACTGACCTTGCAGATAGCAGTCCACCATGTAACCCACCAAGGGTCCTGCTTTGAGCTTAGCTGCATTCTTAAATATTAAATAATATAATTTATTGTATTTCATGTAATTGGACAACCACCATTTACAGTACAATAGGAAACTCCTATAGTTTGGAGTAGTCTTATCAATTCCATTGTTTTGAAGGAAAAAAAAACAACTTTATCTCTGAGATTATGGCAAACTTTGCAAATTAAACATTGCTTGAAACTTTACAGTATAAAATTTCACCAAATGTGATATATATAATCCCAGAGCCCACTGTTAGCAAATTGATCCGTCTTAATACAATCCCAAATGAAAGCTTCTGAGGCTTTGCAAATCTGCATAAAGCAGTCAGCCTCCCTCATCTCTCTCCCTGGGAGCAGCGGGTGGGCTTGCAGCCAGGAGGCCAACACTGAGCAGACGGCGCCACCAGGGCTCCTCTACCAGACCAGGTACGGCTCAAGTTAAGAAACGCTCCAGGAGAGGGTTTCTAAAGTTCCTGACAAATGCAATCAACTGATCGTGAAATATCTCCACAAACATGTAGAAGCTCCTGCATATATTAAAGACTGAATTTAAAATATGGTCATATATTTTTATGCTGACTTCCACAACATATCAGTAATTCATGTACTGTATAAGTCAAATAAACTTTTTAGAGAAGATAAACTCTTAAGACTAAAGCTGATGGATAATTTACCAATTGCATTATCATCTTGGGATAACATACAACTTAAGATTCTCACTTCATAAGCCTACATTAACAAAATATATGACTTGAGAAAGCACAGAAGGCAGGAAGGGATAGCAAAGATCGATCAACAGAAACGGTAACAAGGCTTTGGAAGTGAGAGCAGCGATAGCAGGAGGGTAGGAGGAAGGGAGGAAGGCAGGAGGATGAACAACAGAAAATGTTTTGAAAATGATGATGGCAACATATGTACAGATGTGTTTGATACAATGATATATGGATTGTTATAAGAGCTGTAAGAAACCTCAATACAGTAAATTTATTTGATAAATAAATTATATATGTATGTATGTATATTCCGAGGGGTGGGGGGGGAGATGCTGTTACATTGTGGAGAAGGCAATCAATCTCACAAAACAAGATGTGCATGAACTGTTCAATGGAATACAAATCTGCTCTAGAAACTTTCACTGAAATCACAAATAAATGCTTTTGTAAACACATACACATTTCTTGGCCAAAATAAATACGGGAAAAAACGACATAAATGAAACGAAAAGCAACTAACGTCTTCTCCCTCTGGGTGGCACTATTGACTTACAGGAAACTACCTTAGACCTGATGGGCCTACACATTTCAACTTCTAAAAACATAAACGATTCAAGCATATGTCCAAATGTTTCTCATAAATACAACCTTTGTCCTGGAAAAAAGCATTAAAAACTTTTTTCCTAATAAAATCCCTTCCAATTTTAACTCCCAAATAAAGAATTTCACCCATAATAGTAAAGGATATTTCCACAAGTATTGTAATAGGATCTTTTATCTATGCTTTTTTTAGTAAGCAACTTTTCACAAATAATTCACTGCAACTCTGTTCAACTCATTAAAGGTCCAATCAGTATTTACTGATCTTTCTTCCACAGGGGGGCCGTTTATACTTTTAAAATATGGGATGTCCGGTCTCTTTTCCTCTAATCCTGAAGGTGAGAAAGAGTTATTGTGTAGTCACAAATCCCCTACTCTTCCAGGCAAGTACTTGGGAAGAGAATGTCAAGAGTACCAACTCCAGGAACGAGTACCAGCACTTGAAGGCAACAGGGACAGAAGAGCAATGAGCTATGTCAAAGAATAACAGCCCACGTGGCACTGGTCCCTCATGTTAGTCTGAATATTCCTGTGTTTGCAGCAGTTTACAAACCAAGGATGCATATTGGACTGGGAGAGCATAAATGTATACTTACGACTGGCAATACGCAAGGCGCAAAATAAAGTGAGAAATATGATCTTTTCTTCGTGGTTCATATTCTTCTCTGGTTTCCTGAAAAATAATGACACATGAATAAAATGCATTAGAATGGTAAGAAGTATACAGAAATACTGAAAGAGTATAACTCAATGACCAATGAAAAACTTTAAAAGCACAACTTTTCTAATACACTTTCTGTGACAATCCCTTTTTAATTAAGTTAGAAGTGAAGTCAAATGAAGTGAAGCAAAGAACTGAAGAAATCTTAACAAAAGTTCCTGACTTTCAGCCTAATTACTTCCTGTCTAGCCACCTTTCCTCTACTAACTTGCTTACTCAGTCTAAGCCCAGGATACTCAACATTCTAACTACAAGAGGCTTCAAAAAGTTCATGGAAAAATAGAATTAACAGATGGTGGATTTTTTTTCAGGAACTTTTTTGAAGCCCCCTTGTCCTTCTCACATAAAGTCTCCTCAACATATTTCATTTTAACCACCTGAAAAAATCTAAATTCCAACTTAATCTACGGCTGCAGTCTGAAGTACTATTCCCAAATCATTGGGTACTTTTAGATTAAAACTACATAGGTAGAGGAATTTAAAATTCTAAAAATTCCCAGCTTCTAATCTCAACTGGACCATTACCAATGTAAAGGAATCCTTATCCGTGTTTTAAAAAGAGTGAGCATGTCTTGAGTGTTTTCGAGGCAGTAGGCACTGTTCTAAGCATTTTTCACATATTAACCACACGTTCTTATGTTTTAGAGATGAGGAAACAAGGCACAAGGGAAAGTATATAACTTTTCCAGAAGCAAAAACAGTAAGCAGCAGAGTTAGGATTGGACACATAATCATCTCCGTTCTTCCTTCTCAGAAAACCTACTTCAAACCTCAGCAGGTGCCACAAGCCCCCTACTACACCTTCTTTCCCTTCCCTCCCTCTTGGCATATGACTTCACCTACTTTACATTAGTAATGAAGGTCACCACACAGAGCACGTCTTTTTCCTTATAAATCACTTTATTGAGGGCTCTTACAACAATCCAAACATCAATTCTATCAAACACATTTGTATTTATGTTGCCAACATCACTTTCAAAACATTTTCTTTCTACTTGAGCCCTTGGTATCTGCTCCTTTTTTCCCTACTCCCCTCTCACCCTCCCACCCTCATGAATCCTTGGTAAATTATAAATTACTATTATTTTCATATCTTATACCATCTGCTGTCTACCTTCACCCACGTTTCTCTTGTTCGTCCCCCTGGGGGTGAGGGAGGGCAGTTACATTGCAATCAGTTCTCCATTTATCCCCCTTCTCCCCACACCCCATGTTCCCCCTACCCAAATGGTATTGCTACTCCCATTACTGTTCCTGAGGGCTTCATCTGTCCTGGATTTCATGTGTCAAGAGTTCTTATCTGTACCAGTGTACATGCTCCAGTCTAGCTGGATCTGTAAGGTAGACCTGGGCTCATCATAGTGAGGGAAGTATTAAAGAACTAGAGAAACACTGTGTGTTCCATCAGTGCTATGTTGTACCCTGGCTGACTCATTCCTTCCTGTGACCCTTCTGTGAGGGGATGTCCAATTGCCTACAGATGGGTTTTGGGTCTCCACTCTGACCCTCATCATTTACATCGATATTGTTTGGGGTCTTCTGATGCATGATACCTGATCCCATCGACACCTCGTGATCACACAGGCTGCTGTGCTTCTTCCATGTGGGCTTTGTTGCTTCCCTGCTAGATGGCTGCTTGTTTAACATCAAGCACTTAAGACCCCAGATCCTATAATCTTTTAATAGTTTTCTTCACCATATTTGCTTATGCACCCATTTTGTCTTCATTAATTGCGTCAGGAAGGTGAGCATCACAGAATGCCAGGTTATTAGAAAAAAGTGTTCTTGTGTTGAGGGAGTACTTGAGTAGAGACCCAATGTCTATATGCTACCTTAATACTTAACTTTTATATATATGTTCGTAGATCTATTTCCCTATCATTATATATAAATATATTTACATATAAATGCCTATATTTATGCCTCTGACAATGTCTTTTGCCTCCTAGTTCTTTCCTCTATTTCCTTTTACTTTCTTCCTATCGCACTATCATGTTCGACCTTCATTCAACTCTCAGTAATTTCTCTCAGCTAAATTGCAATTGATGAAACCCCACCAAGCATTCTACACCCTCCTCGCCATCAATTTTAGATCTCTTGTTGTTCCCTTGTCTCTGAATTTGTTGGTTTCCCCCCCTCCCTTTCCCCCACCTCCTCCTCTCCCATGTTCCCCAGAGCTATAGGGGCTGTTGCTTTCTCCTCAGGATTGTTTATCCTGCCTATCTTATACGGATAGACATGAGAGAAAAGAAAGGAAGGAAGGAAAGAAGGGAGGGAGGGAGGAAGAAATCTATAAATAGTTCCAGGTCTGTCTGTTGATGCTTATGAATGTTTTCCCATCGGATCTGGTGAAGTGCCAAGACCTGCCCACTGATTCCAAAGCCTGTTTTCAGATTCCTCAGGGACGTCATTGCTTTGGTCCTCTTGCTGCTCTGTTGCACTCCCTTCGTGTTTCGCCCGGTGTGAGGGGATCAGACCAGGCACAAATCCCGTACTGTCTCCAGGGCTGTCCCCCATAACGCTGTAGGTCAATGAGGGTGTCTTGACAGAGCACCTTTCAACCTCAAGCTTCTGCACTTACACTGTTGTAGAACCTTCCCATCAATCACTCTGGGTGAAATATCTCTTGTTCTACCTACACCTTAGCCTTGAATTCCATGTATTCTGCCTTGATGTACGCTCTCTGAGCAAATCTTCAAACTCACTGCTTTTCTGAATCTTTCTATTCAGCTTATAAATGTGCTCAAATATCTCCTGCCATATAGGTATATCTTCTCTTTTTCCTACAACTTCCTCTAGATACTTCCCTGTTTCATACATCTTTTTTACTAAATATTATAAAAGTATAAATACTCCATATCCATCTGTTCATGTTCCTCCAAAAAACAATGCCATCAATATGACTCTTGTCCCAATTCGCAAGAGCCCACCCAGCTGCTAAATCCAATGGGCACTATACAACTTATGTTGCATCATCTATCCTACGCTTCTGAAAATACGGTTAAAAGCATAAGCCTGGGGGGGAAAACCACCCACATTCAAATCCTGGCTTTATCATTTATTATGAGCTTCAGCAAGTATCCTGGCTTTATCATTTATTATGAGCTTCAGCAAGTAACCTAGCCAATCAATAACTCAGTCTCCTCTTCCATAAAATGGGTATGATAATGCTGATCTAGTAAGACTACTGTCTGGATGACATGGGCTAATGTTCCCAAAGTACTTAAATCAGAGGTAGTGCATAGCATATCATAAATGTTGGCTATCAATATTATTGTTGTTGCATTATGTAAACTCTAGCTGTAGTACAATGAGTTCCTTTGTGTAGCCTTTTGCCTTAGTTCTTTGGAAACATATGTTGAGAGTTTTGCCTTTGGCCTTAGTTTTCTATCCCAGAGAAGGTTTGTTACTTTCATCCACGTTACTGCTATTCCCTTGGCAAACAGTGAGTTGAATTTTTATCTAGCTCTGGGCTACAGCTTCCCATGTCACTAGTATGCACCTTGTGTGGATTGCCCAATAAGCTATGCAAATGAAGGGACTACAGCTGACTATGGAAATTAAGGGTTTGGCATATGGCGAGGCATTTAATCAGGGGACTAGTCAGTTCTTCGCCTCATTGGGAAGGACTTGCCTTGAAATTGACCAGATTGCTTATAGGAGCATAACGTTTGTGGAAAAAAATCCATTATACTGGAATTCTAGGTTCCACAAACTCTTTGAAGCCCCCTTAAATATGCCCCAACCCCACCCGGACAGAGAAAGAAAGCAGCAGAGAGGAGAAAAGGCGTAAAGAGGGAAGCAGCAAAAGGAGGGGAGTAACCTCCTAAAAGAGCCTTACTGCGGGGCAGCGGCTGCAACACTGAAGACAACAGGAGGACCAGAAGGGGAACTGCAGTTTGTGGGACACACGGTAGGGAGGCCAAAGGCAGAGCAGTGTGTCCCGGGGGCTGGAGAGCTCGAGAGGAGGACTGTCCTGAGGGGCAGAGAGGCCTGCCCGGCCATCAGCCAGTCTGCACAGCAGCGGGAAGGGCTGGCCTGCCTGGCCGTAAGCAAGTGTGCACAGCAGCGGGAAGGGCTGGCCTGCCTGGCCCTAAGCAAGTGTGCACTGCAGTGGGAAGGGCTGGTCTACCTGGCCGTAAGCAAGTGTGCACTGCAGTGGGAAGGGCTGGCCTGCTAGCACAGCTGAAACAGCTGCCCTGCCAAAGAAGGGACCAAGGTGCTCTCCCCTTTAAGCGAGACTTCCAGACTCTTCCCATGTGCTTCCTGACCCAAACCCTCAGTTGTGCCCTATTACTTCCTCAAGAAAAGTACTAAACTCTGAGTATGGGCTGTGAGTTCTGTATAGTCACTGCAATGAAACACCAGCCAGAAGAGAAATAGAGTGCTGTAGGCAGACAAGACAGCTCATGTCATAACTGGCCACTGGGCACCTCCAAATGATGCCTAGAACTCAACATTATCCTCCCACTACTTGCTTCTCCTCCTTTATGTGCTGCTGCGGTTGTTGTTAGTGCCATCAAGTCAGCTCCAATCAATCATAGTGACCCTACGGACCACAGACAAAACACCGTCTGGTTCTGGGCCAGCCTCACCATTGCTGTTTGAGCCCATTGTTGCAGCCACTGTGACGATCCACCTTGCCAAGGGTTTTCTTTTTCACTGCTCTTTGACTTTACCAAGCATGTCCTTTTCCAGGAAATGGTCTCCTAATAATATGTCCAAAGTACCTGAAATGAAGTCTCACCATCCTCACTTCTAAGGAGCATTCTGGCTGTACTTCTTCCAAGACAGATTTGTTTGTTTTTCTGGCAGTCCATGGTACATTCAATATTCTTCACCAGTACCATGATTCACATGAATCAATTCTTTTTCCACCATCCTTATTTAATGTCCAACTTTCACATGCATATGAGACCATTGAAAATACTACGGCCGGGGTCAGGCCCACCTAAGTCTTCGAAGTGACATCCTTGCTCTTTAACACTTTAAAGAGGTCTTGGGCAGCAGATCTGCCAAATGTAATACATTATTTCATTTCTTGATTGCTACTTCCATGAGCATTGATTGTAGATCCAAGCAAGAGGAAATCCTTGATAAAATCAATCTTCTCTCCACTTACCATGATGTCTATTAGTCCAGTTGTGAGGATTTTGGCATGAGTTGCAATTCATATTGAAGGCTGCAATCCTTGGCCTTCATTAGCCAGTGCTTCAAGCCCTCCTTACTCTCAGCAAACAAGGTTGTGGGATTCGCATAACACAGGGTGTTAAAAAGCCTTCCCTCAATCCTGATGCCTTACTGTTTTTCAGAGTTGAGCTTCTCTGATTATTTGCTCAGCATACAGATTGAATAAGTAAGATGAGAAGATACAACCCCCGATGCACACCTTTCTTTATTTTAAACCATGCAGTATTCCCTTGTTTTGTTTGGATGACTGCCTCTTGATCCATGCACAGGCTCTTCATGAGCACAATTAAAAGTACAACCAAGTGCACAATTCCCGTTCTTCCCAATGCTATCCACAGTTCATGATTCAGTCGAATGCCTTGCTTAGTCAATAAAACAAGGAAGCATCTTACTGGTATTCTCTGCTTTTGAGTCAAGCCCCATCTGACATCAGCAATGATATTCCCTGTTCCATGTCTCCTTCTGAATCCAGTCAGAACTCCGAGTAGCTCGTTGTTGATGTACTGTTACAATCATTATTGAATGATCTTCATCAAAAATGTACTTGTATGTGATTTTGAGATATATGCAAATCAAAATATCACCACAATCCACCTAGTCCCCTTCACTAGTAACTTGGGTGTCATTATATCTTTTTAACATTATATCTTTGCATTATATCTTATTATCTCTTCACTCAGTCTTCATAACACTTTCTCCTTCTAGTCTTCTTGGTATCAGTTGCTAACGTCTTTGCACTATATCTTATCTCTTCACTCGGTCTTCGCCTCTGCATTAAGTTCTGACTCCCATCTTTGTTCTAAGTCTATCTCCCTCCTACCAGCCATGACCCCTTCAATCTATTCATGGCTGTCATCTTCATAAAATAAAAATCTGATCACATCTATCATGATGCAGTTCTAGTACGAGTTTGTCAGAGAAGCCTTCCCAAACCACACTAATCTGAGTTGATGCAGTAAATCATGTGGGGAACCATTCTGACCTCCTCTGGTTGCCCTAGAACTGAGAGGCAGGAGGTCAGGCAGGTCTGCACCCTCCTGTCTTCTTTGTCACCCACTCTCCTCCCATGGCACTCTCTTTCTTCATTGGGTTTGATAATGCATTGCAGGGCCACACAGACCTCACAGACAACACTCACAACTATGAGGGTTTATTGGGGAAGTGCATCTCACTGCCATCGAGTTAATTCAGACTCGTAAAGACCTTCTAGGACAGGGCAGAAGGGCCCCTGTGGGATTCCGTGACTGCCACTATAGAAGCAGAAAGCGCCGTCTTTCCCCTGCAGAACAGTGGGTGGTTTTAGGCTAGTAACCTCGAAGTGTGCAGCCCAATGTTAACTCGCTACACCCCAGGGGTCCCACAACTCAAAACAAGCTCACTGCCAGGGTGTCCATTCTGACTCTCGGGAACCCCTACACAGGGGACTGTAGAACTGCCCCGTGAGGTTCTGTAACTCTTCACCCACCAAAATAACAAACCTCGTCTTCCTCCCACAGAGCTGGCTGGTGGTTTTGAACTGCTGACCTTAAGTTTGCATCCCAACTTGTAACCACTATACACACCACCAGGTCTCCAGAGTTCCTATAGGGAAGTTAATAGGTTACCACAGATCAGGATCAGTAAACAATAAGGCTACAGTCACTGATCCACAGCAACACCTCTCCTCTCCTCAGCCAGCATCCAAGTCTCTTGTCTGTTCCTCAGCCTCTCAGCCATGTGGGTCGTGGGCCTCTGCCTCCATTAGACAGGAAGTCTGCCCAACCCTCTGTCTCACAGCCCGTAACTTTGGCATTGCTTATCTTGCTCTGTTCCAGTCTCCATGTCACAATCTGTGATACCCCGGGTCTCGGCCTCCGCAATTGCAGACAGAAATCGGGAATGTGCTCTTCCCATGAAACACAAAACTCCCTACCGTTGAGTCAACTCTGACTCGTAGTGATCCTACAGGGCAAGGAGAACCGTCCTTGTGAGTCTCCAAGGCTGTAACTCCTCTCAGGCTTCGACCCTTTTCTCTCTGTCCCAGACGGATCTTCGACACAGAAGAATGACTAAGGGAGGGTGGCTTTGTCTTTCAGCAGACCACACCCCCCAGGAAAACCAGAGTGGTACTTGGTTCACATCCTCTACGAAGATCAGGACTTAACTCCACCTTGAGCCTGTCCATTAATAAGATTATAACCGTAATAACCGTAGAGTCCAGAATTATAATACATCACATAAGGAATTATGGCTGGAAGGGCCATATAAACTGACTACATTTCAACTGGGTAATTATAGGAAGGTAGGTCAAAAAATACTGCTACTGGGGGTCCAGTTCATAAATGCGTAGATTTATCCCAATTAATGTGTTCTAGCACAGCTCTCCAATCTGTAGATGGCTGCACACAGTTCTCTCAACAATAGACTTGTTTTAGTGTCTTAGGGGGGGCCTTTAAAAAAAAAGGTTACTGAAAAATGTATTGTCCAGTGTTCGGCTAGTTCAAATCACTGATCTTTCCAACAGTCTTTTAAGCAACAGCAAAGCTAAAGATGATTTTATGGAACAAATCACAACGAAGGACAAGTCTTGCATTTGCTAATATGATCCAGAGAGTAATGACCAATCAAAGCAATGATTCCAAGAGGTTCTGAAGAGCCAGTTAAATGTAAGCCAAGAGGCAGCTCAGTAGGTTACAGTGACCGTTTTTGAGCAGTCCAATGGGCAAGCTTCCTAGACTTCTCCAAGGACAAAGGGCGGTCAGGGCGCTTATGATGAAGAAGTGTTAAGAGACTGAAGGCTACACAGGTAATGAAATGGCTAGGAAGGTGTGAGCAAGGAAAAGGTCCTTCGTGACAAAATACCTGCTCCTCCTTCAAGAACACTCAAAGCTTCCTGGGAAAACCTTATCCCATCCAGCCTACAACCTTGATCTTTTCCTTCAAACTTCTATTTGTCCTCCCACTCAAAGAACACAATTCAAATACTGCATGGATGTCAAAACTGCTGCTGTGATAGATGCCAATGGAAGAGCCCAGAATTCTTTGGGAAAGGATGACAGCAATGGGAAATATATATCTAGATGGAGGATATGTCAAGAAACCATAGCTCCATATTTTGATATTTTTGTTGACTACAGGTCTCTATGACTTTGTGGTGATTCACTATGTGCTCCTGGAGCACACTCCAATAAAAGCATCCATCATTCTTTATTGTACTGTGTGCTTTTTGCGCCCCCCCACCCCC